TGCAGCACCATAACACAAGACATGTTTAACTCCCCCCCCATACGCCCAGTACCTCCCAGTTCTTTCAATGGTCCAGACAGTGTACAATAACCCTTACTGCCCTCGATAACAGATGCCCTCAACAAAGCAGGGTATTTTGTATGAAGAAATCCATATAAGCAGCATGTGAATTGCATGTCTGACCTATGCTTCCCAGGTCCTTATTGCTTTATGGGCCCAGTTAAAAGATTATTTCATTTAATGCCATCATAAACCTATCATAAGGCACCACTGGAGTACGAAATGCTGGAATACACGGTCTGGATGACAGTTGTCTTCCCACAGAAGACAAAACAGAAAGCTAAAGAAAAATTCTCGGAGTTCTACAAAGAAATGAGGAGCTATTGAGATATTTTCTATGTACTTTTGTCACAATTGCAACAGGTCCTCCTTTTTCTACCACTTCTCTTTGCAATCATCTTCCCAGTCCCAGGTACTGTCTGTGATTAGTATTGCAAATCAGTAAGAACTGCTCTCCTACAACCTGTGAACTTTGCAAAGCTCGTTATTACTGCAGCTGCTAATGCCAGCTCCATTTATTCTTCTCTAGGAATGAAAGCTCCCTTCTGTGGACTGATTTTTAAGGAAAAAATAAAGTTCTCAACTTTCAGTTGTTACTGATTTAACATCAGGATGTGCTCTAGCTTTACTGATTGGAGCAAAACTAAAAGAAGGAATACCAGAAGATTATCATGATCTAGACTGAGTCTGGATGATACAGATTAAACGTAGAGAGAAATCAGACTCGCTATACTCGGGGGGGGGAAAAATTCCACTGTTCCATGATACAAGAACCAGAAGATTATCATGATCTAGACCGAATCTGGATGATACAGATTAAACATAGAGAGAAATCAGACTAGCTATACTCAGGTGGGAAAAATTCCACTGTTCCATGATACAAGATGGATTACTAAATATGTGCTTTAACCACATTTCTCACCTTGTATTAATGCTGTTGTGGGGCTCCTGAATCTGGAAATCTTACTTTTCATATTATTGCACTTTGTGTCACTCTGCTGCATTTCTTCAGCCTTTAGTAGTGAGTTCCTCCAAAAAGATTATTTTTTTAAAGACCACGATAAAATAAAGATACGACAAATTCCCACCACTTAACTTTGCATACTGCAATTATTCTCATGGTTACAGGCTCTGACTGATATCTGACCCCTGCAATAAAGCTACACTAATCTTGGTGAATGTACACACAGCCACCCTGAAACCCTGCACTATGAGAGAGCTGCATATGCATTCTTAAATGTATGTTTTTCCTTACCTGGGCACAAAAACTAATGGCTCAGGCTTTAAGCATGCACTTTTTTTCATTCTAAATGAAGAATAACCCAACTTCACAAGTCCCCAAAGCTTATATCTCCATCTGAAATATTTTTACACTTCCCGAAACACAATTCTGACAGGAAGAGTCACATTTCACTCTCCAATGCACAGAATTAATTTTGCTCCACAGATTATTTTCTTCCACGAACACACAGAAGTGATTGCGACCTTTTCTTCTACCCTTATATAATAAGCAACTTGTTTGAAGAACAAATTCCTTTTTGAGTTGAAAATAAGTGCAACAAAGCTGACCTTAAAACAAAGAAATGTACATGCAAATAAGGAACACACAACTGAAACTGAGATTTCATTCCAGTCACAGGATTTCATCTACCCTGTATGGTAAAGTGAAGTCTGTGACCTGTCTAGTATTGCCAGTCCCTAAATTTACACAAGACTCTCCAAAATTATGCAATTTTAAATACTATTTACACTGATATAGAAGCAGCAGAACATATACCAATTTTAACACTGAAAAAGGAGTACCTTGATTTTTGCCATTTATTCTTAATCCTCCTATATCTATTGAGGGTTACTAAACAAGGTCTCAGGCAAGCAAAGGGAAGTTAATGTTGAAAGGGCCATGGGTTTCATTTTGAAGGACCTCATTCTAAACATTGCTTTATTTCTTTTGGTTTTTTGAGCAGAGCTATCCCTGGTGCAAAGGAGAGAAAAAATGCCAATATGACAACTTCAGAAATAGAATTCACAGACATTTAAAAGCTACTGATACTACTTCAGAACGGTTCCTTTGTCCAAAAAATGCTTTCTTTTTAAATTAGTATTTTACTTGGCACTGAGAATTCTCTTACTCATGGTACAGTGAGTTTCTTGCTGCAGACAGAGGTCCTGACTTAAGTCAAAGGACACATATATACTTCTGAAGCCCATCAGGGCATAAGAAAGATGTGTTCCTTGATGCCGCATTTGGTTAAGAATTATCCAAAGGTCTGTACAAGTCAACTGGTACCACAGTGGTGACTCGTTCATGTCCACTAAAGGAAAAACCTCAGGAGCCTCTAGGCTAATAAATTATAATTCTTTCTTAAAGCTAGAGGTGTTTGTTAATAATTGAACCAGGCAATTTATAGAGACCATGCTACAAATTATATTGAGAGACTTTCACTCATTGTGAGAATTGGGACTTATATACAATTCACCAGTGATACAGACTTAGAGAAGTGATTTGTTTTAAAATTAAGCTCCACTTTTAACAAAACAGTTTTCCCTGTTCCCAACTGTCTGGTTAAGACAGATCCTTAAACACAAAGTGCTGTGACAGCATTTGAAGCAGCAGCAGGATGTGACAGGCAAGCACAGGAAATCCCAGTGTTTTATTCTTAATTGTCTTTTTTTTTTTTAATTTCAAATTACTGCTTTTCTGCTCTGCTGCATTAGTAACAATGCCTTTCTGTTCCCTACTGTAAAGCCTGACACTTTAACAAATTACTGCTCACAGAAAAAGGAACATGCTCACTTTGACACATGGTACCAGGTTCCCAAAATGCAGACTAACTTTGATACAACAAGAAGTGCCAGGTTTTGGAACTAAAATGGCATTAGCAATACGGAGCAGGTAAATTAGCTGTCATCCACTAAAACTGAACCAGCAATTATGACAGTCATCTCTTAAAAAAAAGCCTGAACCTCCTAAATGAAAAGCATAAAGGCTTATCAACACATGGTTTTAAAAGCTGGGTTGGAGTGACAAGTGAAGCACAACAGATCAAAAGCATAAAACAAACCAAAAAACCCACACCATGAAGGAGAGAAAAAAAAACCCACTGCAAAGGAACATTCTGTGCATGAAAAAAAAATATATCAACTTGTACCAGCAACAGAAAACACCCTGGAGTCATCCCCGTGTTCACAGGCTGCATTTTATCAGCCAGAGGAAAACTACGCCTTCACGTTGAGCTTCACCTCTAAGGCTTTTCCCCTCGTCTCCCAGGAAGTTTGCAGTAATTTAGATTGTACCATAGGCACTGACACAATCGTGGGATCCCTGACAACTGTGTTTAGACAGAGGAGCATGTTAGAAAGGTGCAACTGGCATTAAACTTAATTTTCTGTTGTGATCGTGTAGTACATTTGATATTTCAAAAAAGGCCAATCCCTACAAGCTTTGCTTTGTTGTTTTAGAAGGTGTTTAACCAGTTTTGTGTCACACTCACTGTCACTACAACCACCTGTGAAAGGGAAGGGCCAAAAGCAGGTGCTGTTAAAAAATAAATCTCTACATTTTATCAGCTCCCCCTTCCTCCCCAAAAATGACAAAGAGCAGACACCTTGCAGCAGAACCTGAAAATTAATCAGATGGGGCTGAATGGAAGCAATTTCACAGTTGCAGACTTTTTGAAATTAAGTCAGGGGCACATTGCACACAGCAATTGGACCGAGTATCTCCGTACCATCCAAGGAGACAGCTGTTCTCCCAGCTACCTAGAATTCAACTATGATTTCTACAGCTATAAAAACAATTGTGTCTGCAAAGGAAATAGTTTAAATGTGGTCCCTTTCAAAATACTGGTGGCAGCATTTTGCTGAAGATGATACTTTCAGTTTAGGGTTTATTTCCAACCACAAAAGCCAAAATAACCAAGAGTAAAATTCTTGATACCAAACCCAGAATGCAGATAATCTCAGAGTTTATCTAAGCCAGCATTACCGCTGAGGAGTGGATTGCTATCATCCAGAAGTCAAAAAAAACCCACAACCATCCCCATTTGCAGGCAGCAATAGTATGAAGTCAGATCTGCTTGGGGTAATGCCTATCAGCAGGCAATTACTGATGCTGTCTTTAAATGAGTACATTTCCATCTTTTTCTCTCTTGGAAAAGAGATGGAACACAGTAGGAATATAAAGTTGTCCTTGATTATCTTTTTCCTGCAGAAGTGTGACTGGTCTTGCATTATAAGAGGTTACACTGCTGAAAGCTCAGTACCCACCTGCCAGACAGATGAGCTGAAGCTGAGCTCCTTCTTCCTAAGCATATTGCCTCAAAGCAATTCCAATTTAACATGACCCACATTAGAAAAAAACCTTAAACTAACCTTAAGGCAAGGCTTTTTTTTATTTTAAGGTATAACTGACAGCCATCAGAATACTCATCCCTGTCAGATCCACTGAAAGCAGATATGGATGTAGAACCAAGTTACCATGGTTCATCATGTTACTGCAGGTTGGCAGAGCTGTGCTAAATTTATCATCTTCACACCCAGCCCACTGCCATTACACAGTATTAAGCCCCAACTTGAACAGCAAAGGAATTTCAGGCCAGTCAGTCTAAAATAAATGGCTGTATTTTGGATTTGCTGCAGTCACAGTTATCTTTGCTCTTGACTCACAGGGACCTGCTACGCTGACATAACTGGATTGCAGCTCTAAGCCCTACAGCTTTCAAGGAAGTCACTTTGTGTGGTTTAACTCCAGTTATTTCCAAGTATGGCCCCCTTTTAACCATTTTTAATCTTTACTTTCTATGTAATCAATCTGAAGACAAAATGCTACATAATTCTACAGCTACTGCTGGCGCAAAAAGTCCCACTATATTCACCAGCCCACCCAGTTAATAAAAGGCACAGTTTAGCTGCCCTCAAAGCAGCCAAACCCAGAGTCTTACCTGCTCGGGGCTCTATGGTCTTGTTGGAACCCACATCCATAAACACAAACCGTCCACCACCAAAATCTTCAGTGTAGTCAGAGAGATACAGCAGTGAAGTATAGTCAAAAGAGCCATAAGTCACCTAGGAGTAAGAAAACAGCACCAAAAATTAACAATTTCTACTCTCATCTCTGTAGAGTACAAATAATTAAGCAGGTGGACCTGATGGGGTTTTCTAATAGTCCAGTTCTCATGTATTTAATAAAGGTGCCTCAAAGCTGAGAACATTCTTTTCTAGAACGGGTATCTGTTTATTAGTCTATTCTGTTATGTTTACACACACACTACATAAAAGACTAGCATGTTATTATTAGTTTCCACAACTAATGTTCCTATTGATTTCTATACTAAATCTACTAAACAGTTAGTAAACCCCAACATAACATCAGAAATCACACTTCTGCATTGTATAAAAAATATAGAAGGGTTTAGATCTATTTGTACTGTTTCAAGACAAAAATTTCACCATTAGGTCAATGAGACCCAAGAGCAGCCTTTGACTAATTAATTCCACTCATTATCTAACCACAGCTATAGGTTTCTGGAAACCTCACTTTTTACTCTTTCACAAACTACCACACAGGAGCTTTGTGGTACCAGTGAATCAGACCTTCCAAGTAAACACACTTTGTTGGAGGAACTTCTACTCTTTTCATTTAAAAACCTTCAAACATGACTTTCAAAGTCTCTGCTTCTCCTCAGCCTCCAGACCAAACACTCCGTTTTTAAGTACAAGGATTTTCCTTCCTTTTAAAGTATTATTTTCGCCTGATATGTATGTCAAGGATGGAGAAAAGAAATACTATGTTAATGCTCAGAGTAAAACTATCTAAATATTTAACACTGAGTTTAGCTGATTCTCAAAATATTTCTTTCATATCTACATGTCACCAACTACTAAAAATATATGTAAAATCAATGGCTGTATTGCCCAATTTCTTTACAGTATATCACAACTTAATCAAGTTCCACATTACACTGCCAAACAGCGAAATGTGCAGCACAGTAGTACTGAATAAATATATTGCAGAGTGTTTTGACTGACCTGGTGACTGGTAGAGGTAGGTGCTACTTCCAAACTTAGAAGTTTTCTAAATATTTTGAATTTTGTTCTAAGTTACACTCATTAGTGCCAGTTAAATTTTGGCTCAACAGCAGTTGGACATATTATTCTGAAAGGGCAATGACTAAAGAGAACACAGCGGCAGATGGAATAGGAAGACATTTTCATTCTTACTCATTTCATTATTTTGACCATAAGGACTTGAAGGAAAAGAGCCAAATCCAGCGATATGCTGCACCGTACAGCCCAAATCACAAGAGGAGTGTTTTGGTGATCCCCTTTTCCCCCTATTTACCCAATCCCTCACAGCAACACAAGGCAATAAATGGGAATTAATGAGCAGGTGGTACTGCAGCACCATAAACCAGCCATTCCGCACACACACCCCCATCCCAATCAGCTTGGCAAAGCTATTTTCACCTTCACTGATTTGGTGACAAAACTTCCAGTCAGTTTTAGGAAGTCTTTTGGGCAGTGAAGGCATCAGCATAGTGAAGATGTTGGTCCAACTCGTACTTGCCAGTCAAACGTATTATAAGTGTTATTCTGAGCACAGCAATCTTTGCTCCATCAGTGCACCCTCCATCCTCTGCAAGGTGGCTTTACCAGTTCTGAACTCTCAAGAGCTGGCTACAAACCATTTTAGCCTAACCAAACACCTGATTTCTATAGATGACTACTTTGGGGAACCAAGCATGCAACAGAAAATGACTTTTCTGTTCCATTTCTTGTTCATTACTAACTCTCAAAAGGCAGCCAGGTCTGAGAAATGCAATGCTATGGAATGGAGGCACTAAATTATACTCAGTTATTTATAATGCTAGAAATCCCCTGTGTATATCAAATGTATTTATTACCCTGGTAATGATTTCCAATGGCAGCAAGGTTAATAATTGAACCAGAATTTCAGACTATGTGAAAATAAGCTGTCATTAAAAGCAGGTGATAAGCCCTACAGGCAGCAAATCAAGTTTCTAGAGCTCCTTGTGAACAATTCAACAGAAAAAAAAAAATGCAGCATTTCCATTCAGCCTGACACTTCACAGAGTTAGTGTGCTCTTTTTGAGCACCCTTTACCCAAATCAGTCAAACACAGCTAACACCTAAGAGTAGATGCTCATAATTATATTTATATAATACATCTTTAAAGGCTGTTATAATAAATATAACTAATTGTTAGAAGGAGCCAGACACATTTTGCAGTGCAGCACCCTTAGGTGTTTGAAGGACAAGTTTATATGCAACTAATCAGTAGTAACAGTAGGCAACAGGCCTGTGGTTACTCAAAGGCATGCGGGGCAGCAGCCTCTGCTTTCCATTGCAGAGGAAAATACAAACATACATTCACTTTCCAATCGGCAAAAGTCTAGCAGGGTATCTTGCAGAAATAAATCAAAACTGCTCTTCTCCTTTAAGCATCTACCCAGCTCTTTGTGCAGATAATCACAAAAATAGCCTCAATAACAACTTCCAGTGTTGTATATATTGGTAGTATCTATTTAGTAGACTATGTAAGACACCAATAGCACGTCTCGCAATTACAAGGGGCTGTAGGTGAGCCAAGGTAACAGGTTTGAGCAGACACAAGAATAAACTTCCTGGGATTTCAAAGACGATGCTGTCCTAAGGCAAAAGTAAGGCCTTTTGATGTGTTTCATTAAATGTCTAACAACATGAATGGGAAGAAAAAGATGACTGAAGAATCTGGTTGACCAGAGGGAGCTGCTGTCAGCAGTAGTCTCAGCAGGCAGAGGAGAGGGGCTGGGAGAAGGGTTAGGAAGATGGAGAGCGTACCACAGGGAAGGAGACTTGAAGGTCTGGCTTGTTCAGCTTAAAGAAAGGCTGAAAAGGGTATGAATGCCACTCAAATACACAGGGATGGGGGGGTGGGGATGGAAATTAGCTATAACCCGATCATGAATAAGCTTAGGTTAAAAAAAAAAAAAAAAAAATCAAGAAAATTTGCACCGAAGTCCTGGAGTAGTTCCGATAGAAGAAATTCAAGGAAAACAAACTATAAGTAATCTTATAGTGGAGCCTGACAGTTCTGTGAAGGATGACAGGATCCTCGCCCAGGCAGGGGACTGCAGAAATACTCAAGTCCTGCATCACTTTATCAGAGAACATCGTAAGTCCATACTGCTGTCAGAGTTGAGCGTGCAACAGCAATTCCACAATAAATCAGACATTTGAAAGGCTCAGTTCCCAACAAATTCCATCAAGATGAAACTCCACATCTTAAGCCAACACTCTTTGTTTGATTTAGATGCTTATAAATTCAACAAGATTAAATGAGTCATTTGGGTGATTTCAGGGTTTCCATTCCTATGTAATAAAAACCAAATAAATTTTAGGGAAAAAACTAAGCCTCAGAGAAACACAACGTATCTGTGCTACTCTATTATGCAGTTAAAATATTCCAAACCAAGGACATCCAGATTGAAAAATCTAACTGCAACAGACTCAGCAATCCAGGGAAAAAGGCAAGAGGGTTATTTGTGTGCTCCAAGAAGCCTACATCTTTGAACCAACAGTGTCAGACTTCGAAACAAAATGTGTCAGACTCATTTTTCAAAGGCTTGATTTTTATCTTTGTTTTGGAAAGAGTCAGGGAAAAAAAAATCCTGAAGTCTTCTAGGAACAACCTTCGCTGTTCAGTTATTATGCAGAAATATATAAAGTGATTTGTCCTACTCCAAGGGAAAAGTATAAATAATGATAAAACACAAAAGCATCCAACAAACTGGCAAAATTTTTTAGCATGCTGAGTTTTATTGATCTTTCTTCAACTCCCTAGTATTCACATTTATTTTGGAGGTCACATAACTTCTCTTATCTGAGAAGTATTTCCTACCTCAGATCAATAGCAATGCCTTTTTTTTTTAATCTTGCTTTCAACTGCAGTCTGCAAGTGGTCAGTGGAACTTAGTTTGTTGGAGAAATTAAAATGCAAGGCAGGCTGGCTGCACTGAAGACAACCTGTGAAGCTACACAACTTCTCTATCCTATTTCGACTTCTCCAGAGTATTCTCTGACCTACTCACCTTCTATATGAATTCAGTCTCCTGCATAGCCTATAAAAACTGTTTTACCTCTTTCTGAGCATGTAACAATATAGATAAGATATACATGATGTACACCTACAGTAGGCTAACAATATATGCAGACATGTTCTACACAAACTAACATTTTCTGTGAGCCACGACCTGACAAACACATACATGAATTCTACATCCAGATGGCTCTGCTCCAGTTGCACTTAAGGGGAAAATAGTATCAGACCTTTTGACACACAAACATGATTTAGAGAAGAGAGAGGAATCAGAAGCTTGTTTGTGCAACAAGGAAAGGATTCATATTAATCCCTTGATGCCAATTCAAGTGAGTGAAGTACCAGAGTGAAGGCAGCCAGTGTCCAGTAGCAATGACACATGATGATGTAATTTGGACTTTCATGAAGTGATCTAGGATCTACCTCTGTCAGAGCCTATTTAAGGCATCATTAGCCTTGTCCAAACTCTGAATTTTCAACCAAGCAATGCAAACTGCTGTCATTTAAACCCTAGGAGTAACTGTATGATCTGGCAGCAGGTGAAGCTCTTTACCCTAGAGGAGGATGAGCCACTGAGCTGGGGCAGTTCCCACACAAGTGATCCCAGACACAGTGTCCCATCAATCTCTTCAACACCCTCTGCCCTGGCAACAGCATTTACTCCTAGGGAAGGCCAAAGAATCATAAATGGACCCACAAACCACGAGCTCAAGAAGCAGTTACAGCAAGTCTGCTCTAGGTCTCTATTCCACAGCACCCACAAAGCCCCTTTTCTGTGGCTGGGAGCCAAATAAGTTCTGTTCCCTTGTGCTCCCCCCCAAAAAAAACTGAAAGGGAACTCATCCAGACAAGTACCCACAAAGCCCCTTTTCTGTGGCTGGGGCCAGGGAAGTTCTGTTCCTTTGTGCTCCCCCCCAAAAAACTGAAAGGGAACTCATCCAGACAAGGCTCCCAGCCTCACAATGTTGCTGTCACAACAGCACAGATAGTGGCCCAGCTTTGGTACACTCATATGCAATCCTTACAGCAAGGACGCTCTTGAACAAGGCAAATAACCATATTAAAATACACTCAAACCTGAAACAGAAGCTTAAGGCACAGCCAAAGAGCACTTCGATGGTCTGACTGCTTTAGGTTTCTCAATACAGACAACTCACTGCAGAAATCCACTGCTACAGAAGTGTTCAAGCTACTTATATAAACAGAATAAGCTACAGTTTTAACTCCCAGTGTGATCTAAACAATACTTCTCTCTGAAAAAAAATACCTGAAATTTAGTGTAAGTCACATTTTTATATTTTACAGCAGGAGGGCCAAGTTCTACATCATTACAAACAAGGTGTTTGGTAACTGCCCCAACTGGGATAATTATCTCTTCACTGCTGTCATAAATCAGACTCAATTATTCAGTATAGAAACTATTAAGTTCTAGGTTATGCATAGCAAGTTTAAGAGACCACATTTTGTGTTTGTTTTGTGTTTTGAAGCTGGGGGTGGGTTAAAAAAAAAAAAAGCCAAGGCCAATCAGTTTATGTATCTGCTCCCTGAACAGACAGCTTGTGAGATAAACAAAATGTGGACAAAAAAATGGATAAAACCAGCAAAACACCTAGCCTGCTGTCCATCATGTACAGGCAGTGTCAGGATGGCATAACAGAGAAACAGCTTCTACAAAGGAAATAAGTTATCTTCGTGGAAAGATTTGCTTCTAAATGACAAAATAATTCATATGTTATAGGATAAATTTAAGTAGAAACACTTAACTGTAAGGTTATCCAAGCACCTTATTCATTTACCAATGCAAAATGCATGCACAAAATAAAGGGAATATTGGCACACCTAATGCTTGAGCAGACACAAATCTCATTATATTAATAAATCAGTCTGAAATTCTAAAATACACTTTCTTTGGACTGAAAGAAAAAAGTGGAGAAAATAGCCATCAGCTATTGAAATTTACTGCTTCCTTTGCAGTCAAACTCAATTCTCTGAAAGTGTGGAAACACTGTGAGGAACCTATGGATTTATTACACTTCACACAACCAGAATCACTAGTTTATTTGGAATCTCTTGGAAACGAGGGCAACACGTGATGGAATTCTTATGAACCCCACCCAGCACAATCTGCTCCCTACAACCAGTTCCCACCAGCACTAGTCAAATCAATGTACACATCAAAACAGCCTCTGCTCCTAGGTCCACTCCTGCTCAGGGGGTTACATTGCAGCTTTTGCAACAAGAAGCATCCAAAAGATGACTTTGTGACTGCAAATTTTCTTCCTTCAAACAGCAGCCGTATTAGTTATCACTGTCCCCACTTTTTCTAAATTTAAGCTGCTTCTGCCCACAAGACAAGAAAGGGCAGAGGAACTTACACTAATATTATGAGTAACAACAGACGCTGTATTTCCCTTAGACTGACTTTTTCCAGGAAATATTTTCAAGGTGAGAAGTATTTCTTTGATTTTTCATCTTAGATGTTTCAGGTTATAGACTTCAAGGTACACTGCCCACATACAGACTCCAGCACCAAGGTATAACTTAGATTTTGATGGGGTAAATTTTATTTGGTTCCATCTTGGGCAATCCATGACTCCAGAGTGAGTCTTATTTTTAAATCCTGAAGACACAAAGTGTGGGTATTCTGGTGAGGGTTGTTTTGGTTTTGTTTTGGTTGGTTGGTTGTTTTTTTTCATTGTTTGGGGTTTTTTTCCGTTTGATTCCTCAATTGTTAGTTTGCATTCTGCTAACCTGCTGTATGAAACATTGTTTCTGAATTTAACAGAGTTCAAAACTCAATACCAATCCCAAATCATGTAAGCTCATTGAGAAATGCAAAGTATTAATCTATGAGCCTACAGATAGATGACTATGAAGTTCAAAGTCACAATACTTCTGTTCTAAAACCAACAAAACATCAAATTATTGAAAGAGGGTACCATATACTCATTGAAGAACATGCGGTAAAAGTGCATCAATTCACATATGAATGAAATATAAATGTTAAACATTTATCAAGAGGCTCAGATCAACTAACAGACTGCTTTGAAATAGCTCTTGCTAGACCTGGCTGGAAGAGCGATACCCTAACTGGAAATGCACTTCATAGGTAAAGGTCAATTTAATCAATGTTTCTGATAAAAGAGAGTAATCATTCTGAGTAGTCATTCACACAATTTATTAATTCTAGTAGAGTTAGAGAAAATAAAATAAAAAGGAATGTAATGCCCTATGTTTCTAAAACTCACTTAACCTTCCATGAAGTTTATCCTCCAAAGGATTTTTACAAGCACCATTTTTCAAACATGTTTGACTGATTGTTTAATGTAAAATGACTTCAAAACAATCTAATAATAACGGGAAACATTTGCATCCCATCTCAGCCTCCTACCTACCTTGTCAACGTGTGGGTGCCAGTATTCATCGTGCGTTGTCTTGGCTTCTGTGCTGTTGATTCTCGAGAAGAACGTTGGCTTGGTCAGGTACATGGAAGCAGAGCTGATACCAAAGGCCTGAGCAATCCTTTGTTGAATCCTCTGTCTCACATCACTGCAAAGGACACAACCCAACACAGCAGGCTTAGTGACACACCTCTCCTGCTGCTTCCCTGTTCTCCTTCATTCACTGTTCCTGCTGCTTTGGAGCTCAGCTTCTTCCTCAGCTGATAAATCCGAGGGGACATACACCCAGACTTTCTCTCATTTTGCCTTCATGAAGGAGATCTACTACATCAACAAAGAGACCCCACCAGTGTTTTGGGTTGGGGTTTGTTGTGTTGTTTGGGTTTTTTTTAAGTCTCAGAATATAAAGAAAAATAAACTATTTGTCTCCCTTGGACTAGATTTCAGAATTTCTTTGTTAAGCAGTCTGTTTTCCTGAAAACTTCCATGCATATCTCACTGTTTATGAACTATTGAAAAGATTAAACTCTTTCACATATATATTCTTAATCCAAAGCCAGTAACTAGAAAGTTTTATCTTCATGAAGGGTTGCCTTTTAAGAACCTTCAACTATTTTTACACTAATTTTAAACTAACCAATGAAGTCCCTGGCACCATGAAACTCCGGGTTCTCAGTAAACCTATGTACTGGCATAACCAGGTTCTCCTTAAAAATGAATGCAAGAGATCTTTCCCAGCTATTTTCAAAAGATTCAACAAAACTATTTTTATCATGGCTATTCCTGTGTTTCTTGGGAGACGGGAAGAACAGGATTTTTGTTTTTAAGGTAATTAAAACAGGAGATTAGCAATGACATGTGTCACTATACAGAACTGCTTATATAGCAGCATCCATCTTTCAGGACAAATATCGCTGTATTCAGGGCAAGAGCAGGGCCATCAAGAACTGCCAGCCATGGTTCAGGCACTTTTAAAGAGAAGAAATTTGTGATTCATGAGGAATACCACTGGAATACCACTGGCAAATCCCACCAGTACACACACAGCTAGTATTTAACTTTGAGGGAATTTAAGAGACAGCAAAGAACACAATAACACGAGATTGAAATTAAAACATTGGTGGTTTTTTAAGATGCAATCCTCTATGTCCTTAAATCCTTAAAATCTTTATACTGTTTTATCCTAATTTTAACACATGCTTAGCTATTGTATTAGTCTTCCTTTTTTGCCAGCTGCTTCAAAAGCAGCACACAAATAAGATACTGAGTAAACACACTTCTGAAGTTATACACGGAATAACATTAGTAGTTTTGCATCTTTTCTGCAGACATTTCTCCACTGGGTAGCACTGAACTTCAGCATAATTTTCCAGGTGTTTCCCCAAGTATTTCTCTAAGGAACTTAAACAGTGACTAAAAAGACATGACAGAACTAAAGCCAATCCTACAGTGTTAGGTTGCGAAAGTCACCTCTTAAAAACTATTTCTGTAAGTACTAAAAAAATCCTAAATATTCATTCTATTCACATCTTGTGCCTCATCAAAAATAAAAAACCCCCACATACAGATTTGATTTTTAACCTGTTTCACTTGACATTTTTAGGGCTCTAAACTTGAGGAGTCAATTCAAACTATTTTACATGTGAAGTATCAAAACCATTCAATGAAGTTAGAGGCAAGGTCTTCGGGTATTTAAACAGCTGCATGAACTGAGGTTTCAAGTTGAGAGTTACACAGGGGTAAAATTTGTAAAACCGACACCAGGAAAGGATCTACAGGTCCTTCCTCGCGCCAGTGGGAACCTGATCTGTCTTTTTTTCTTTCTAAGAAACAGGACTTCAGCAGAGATTGCCTTGTGTTTTCCAAAAAAGCATTGAATGTAATTACTCATTTCACTTTGTGATGAACTGAGGGCAGCTGGCACTTCAAACAGCCCCACACAAGAATTAATAGCTTAATTCACAAACACTAAAGCAGCATTTTCCCTGGCTCTGACACTGGGCAAGCACTGGCACCAGCCAGCTGGAACAGAGCTACCCTGAAGCAGTTGAGCCACGGTCCTGACACAGCTTTAAATCTCCAGTAGCTGTATTGCTCTGAGCAGCACTACTTCCTCTTCCAGGATGATTCCTTTTCCACTTTTAAAAGAAGCTTTCTATTAAGATTTGCTGTCTGGTGTTCATAAGGTTCCGTTAAAGCTTCACTCCTCACGTGCACTGACTCTGGGCAAGACCATGTGTTGCCCAAACCAAGCAGAAGGCAAAGCTCTACTCAACTCCTCCTGATAGACAAAAACAGCAGCCAAAAGTCTACCTGTTTTGGACTGGCCAATGGGTTATCAAAAGAAAAGGAAAATAAACTCAGTCTAATATGCTGCAAAGGAAAAATAAGCGTATCTTTCAGAAGATAAGTTTGTTTTTTCCTGTTTATAAAGCAAGTGGGCAGGGGAAGCACTGAATAGGAAAGCAGAGTAATGAAGCAGTTGAGGTCCAAAAGCATGACCTTAGGTGCTCTCCTGGTGTGATGGCAGCAGCTGCCCACAGCTGATCCAGGCAGCTGGGGTTTGGGTGTGTAAGGATACTGCTGGCCTCTTATCTCCCTGCGTGCTATTGCCTCCAGCATAACTTTTACTTAAAGCAGCTTCTTAAGTGCAAGAGGTCCCAACCTTGCATTTCTTTAGTTGACTTATGTGCTCCTGCCTTTTGCTTTGCTATGGGCTGTCATCCTGCTTATCACAGCATCCCTTGAAAACTTACTCAAGACTTACTCAAAACTTACTCAAATCATGGTGTATGTAGCAGACAAACATGAGTCTTAAGCACTTAATTTGCCATTCAAGAAAACAAATAGTAAGCTTTCAGAAAGCCCCACTGATTGTAATGTCTTGACCTAGGCTTCAAAAAACAGGTATTTATCCTTTGTGCTGTGATAACACATAATATAGACACACCACAATACCTCACGTCCAGGGAGCAAGTTTATAGCAACAGCCTGTGCATGTTTGAACTGAATCACTGGAAACATCAAAATGCACACACGAAACTCAGGGAAAGGCAGAACAGAACTCCCCAAGAAAAGCAAATCTTCACTTTGGATAAAAGCAGTTACTGAAATCTCTTTCAGAGTCAGGGTAATGATGAAGGAAAAGAAATAAAGCCAATGAAGTAGTTAGAAGTTTAAGGAATATATAACTTAAAAGAAAGGGTGTTCACTAGATTGGAAGTTGCCAGCTTAATGTATCAGCAGCAGCATAAAGCACTGAGTAGAGAACTGAAAGAGCCACACAGAAGTTTCTGTAAGACACAAGCTCTGCCAACCAGCAAAAAAATGCACCGTTAGGAGTCACTTGCAAAGTGTGATTCAAGTATGGTGACAGGAACACTCAAAGCTTTGCAAAACCACACAACTTCTCCAGCCTACTTGTCAGCATCTCTGCACCGCTCCAGAGAAAAGTACCCCAGAGAAGCAGACAGTGCTTTCCTACAGCTGGGAAGTTTTAACAGAAATTACACATGCAGAATGAATAAAGAGAGAAAGCAAACCATCAGCTCTTCCTCTACCTTTGTAAGTTGTAAGAGTTTGGGAACAAATCTTTGATAGTGTCATTTGCCACTGAAGTCACAACCCTTAAACCAAGCATCCAGATTTAAAGGTCTCTCTTCGGGATAAAGATGCATCCATTATGTGAAAGAAGAGGAATTGCTGTAATGTGCCTGGCAGATGGTGGTTAAAGCACCATAATTGATTCTGAAGCAACATAATTTTGACAGAGACAGTTTCAAAACCAGCCTCCTGGCTCAGAATGCCTACTCAGATTTGTTATTGTTGCTATCAGTAATACTTCAACATGAATTACGCTCTTGAGAGAAATAAGTAAATGTATTTTTAAACTGACCCTGGCAAGCAAGTGAAAGTAATGAAGATAAATGCTCCCAAGAATAGCATAAAATCATTCATTAAGGACATAAGGTACTACAGTCCATGTTAAAGCACTGCCATTAATATGAACAGAAGCACTAATAATGTATTTTGTATTAGATTCATATCCAACAGACTGAAACATCCCCTGTATTGGCCTGAAAACCAATGGAATATTGATATTGCCTTGAAGCTGTCTCAGTGTAAGGATCAGAAATTCATAAAAATTATTATAACCTGAATGTTGCTGTTCGTGTGAAACAAATATTATTTACTAAGACACCCCCCCTCCATATATTCATGTCATTTCTACAGGTTCTTTGATGTTCTACAGAATGCAAGGGAAAACAAAGACTATTTTAAAAATATTCTCCACTATCTTGGTGAGGCAGAAATTATGTGCTTTCTTTATACACTCAAAGTTCAATAACAATCAAGGAAGTATCATTTTTGTGATTTTGGGAGCAGAAGTAAACACATTTTAAAGTAATTCATCTTTAAAGACAACAGTATCTAGAAATAGTTCTGAATAGAAATAAGCTTTAAGTGGTTAATATTTTAAGACAAAATTACTATAACACTAGTAAATCTATTTGGCTACTTAATATTACTTCCACCACTAGAGGGAGGTCCTATTCCTTCGCAAAGGCAAGACAACAAGACAAAAAGAGTTAAAATGTTCAAGCCAGGTACATTTTAAATTACGAGAAAGCAACTGAAATGCTTAACTACAGATTTATTGTGTCTAGTCAACAAAGAATGCTTGTTCCTAAACTTTGGCCACACACCTTCACAGACACATGGAACTCATTACGTTTGTTGTCTTCGTTAAGTATATGAGCAGGTCTACAGGAAAGCTAAAAGCATCAGATGCCAAAGCTATTACATTATAGCGCTATTTCATATTCTGGCTTCTTGGGAGGAAAGTATGCTCTGCTTCTCCAGCCAGAACATTAGTAATCTGAAGTCCTTCCACTTCCTGCTTTACCATTTTTAATGCTTTGCTACGTTTCACCCAAAAAAACCCAAAGTCCTAATGTAACAATGGCATGGAATTGTGTTTATCATCTAATGCAACACCACTTGGATAATGTGTGAAATAGGAGTTAGTGCTAAAGGGTTTTATATCCCAGTTACAGTGTTCCAACAAACCCCCACAGAACTTGGAGGGCTGCATCAACCCTTCCTGCAGAAAGGGCAATGTGTGCTGCTACCATCATTCTGCTTACATTTACACCATCACTACTGTCCTGACATTGGCCATGCAGCTGAGTTCAAAGCAGCAAATGTGATTTATCAGGTAGCCACCAAAAGTTTCTTTTACTTATTTTTCCTTAGGCACCTTAATTCTCACAGCGATTACTATTTTGAGCTCCAAATTCAATTGCACATCTGAATCCAAAGCACAATTCTCTCTCAACCTGCACTCTACAAAAAAAAAACCAAACCATAAAGTTAGGTTTTGTGGTTCATCCAGCAGATACTGAAAAATCTTTACCGATATAATGCAAAATCCTCTTCTGTGAAGATGTCTTGAATTTTGTCCCCAAAGTACCTGAAAAATTAAACCACAGACTAAAAGAGGAGTTGCCAAAATAGACAGCCATCTGTGCTGCACCCACAATCAAGAAATGAAAACACAATACAAAGAAGTCCTACAAGTGCTATCGAGCATGATGTTCCCAAAGCATTGCTCAAAGATTAAATGTTAAAAGATTAAAGGATCAAGATGCAGCAAGTGATAATCGAATTCCCCAGGCATGAAAAGAGTCATCCCCCCCATCATGAAATAAGCACATGGGGTTCAGACTATTTGATTTCTTCCACTGCTGACAAACTAGACTAACCATGAAAAAAACAAACCACATTATTCACTGGTGCAAGAACTCTGAAAATAAAGGTAATGGTAGCTTTCAAACAGCCCAGTTCAATAAAAGATCAGTTTTCATGCCACAGAAGTTTTTTTTTTAACTGGTCATGGAAACTGTGGTGAATCTAAGTAACTTCTCCAGTTTTTCATTACAAAATGGGCTTGAGAAATTTGGAAAGGCAATGAGCACTGAGGTGTAGGATGACAAGACAGGCAACAAGTTACAGTCCCATTTTACCTGTACAGATTAACAAAATGCTTCCCCAATGAAAGAGCTCCAGAGTGCAAGTCCAAAATCGATGCCTGGGAAAAGAAGAAAAAAAAAAGTAGGAAAAAGCATGAAAAGCTTTTATCATTATTTAACTATGACCTTTAATAACTGTCCCAAGCTGGCTCTCAGTTTTCACAGCCTCCCAAGTAAAAATATTACTTTCTAGCATGTGGGTTCACAACACTAACATTTACTTTACAGCTACAAACCTCCCCCAGTTTGCTGTATAGATGCCCAAAAGATTAAGGTACTATGAATAAAGCACAGGAGTGCTATTCCCAAGGTTCAAATGTGACAGGGAGAATTGCCAGAGTCTTCCTCCATGTGCTGGGGGTAAGACACTGTGTACCTGGATCCCTTCTTGAAGGCATTTCCCTTCTGCACAAAGATGACTAAATTTCCAATATTTGTGAAGCGCTCAAATAGCAGCACTAATATTTATCTTGCCCAACATTTGTTATTAAAACTTCTTCACCATGAGTTCCTGTGTACTTCTCATGTTTAATAAGGCCATAAAAGTCTGTTTAGAAGAACAATTACAATTCTTAGGGTTACTAGAGCCAAACTTTCTTTTCCCCAATTTCTAAACCACTGTAAAAGAAAACCAAGGAGTAAGAAGTTTTACATATGAAAATTCAATCCATTTCTTCATCCAATTCAAGCCAAACACTTCTGCTGAGCTCCAGACCAAGCTAAAAAGATTAGTATTTAGATTTTCCAGGACAGAGCGCTACCTCTCAGGACTGTAAATTATTTCTCTAAATTTAATAAAGTACACTTTTGTATGTCCCTTGCTGTCCACAAAGCACATGTTTGTTCTGCATCAGTTAAACGGTATTTAAAAATATGACTGCTTAGTAGCAGTCTTATTTTTTTTTCATACTGGAAATATCAAGTAGCAACAGTTAATTAACCTGACCGGCACCAAAGTAATGATATCTTTGATATAAAATATCCAGGCAAAAGCACTCATCTTGGAATTTGACATTTCTCGATGCACCACATACCATTCACATTATTCTAACAAAATCCAAACAACACTAATATAACTAGGTGAGCTGCCTGGAAAGAATGGTAACTTCCATCTTACCAGCAACAAGAATTTCTGGGCATGGCTGGACAGTACTCTTTGAAGCCACTTTCTGGCTGGGGAGTGAGCAGGAGAAGTCACCAGCGCCTGGTGGTGTCAGAGCTGCAGTGCCAGGCTGGAGACACGGCTGCACCCTCACCCTGGTCCCAAAGCACATCTATCCCTCCCTCCTCCTCCGGGTCAAGTTGGAGGAGGACACCCATGGCCATCTCTCAGCAAATGAAAATTGCTCCAGCCTCAATTGCTCTGAGCTTCAGAGCTAAAAATCAGGGGAACTCCACTAAAGTGTCATTTTAAAAGGAATAACCACCACCTTATTTTAATAAACATACCCAAATCTGGCTATTGGCCCTTTAAAAATACATAAAGTAACAAGCTACTCAAGAGGACATAGTATGAGCTTTTCAGACCTCCTCCTCCCACAGAAGTTATCCAAAAAGCTTCAGAGGACTGTTCAGAAAACAGGTAATCTCACATTCATGCAAGAGCAGCTCTCATAATACAACTTACTCAAGCTTCAGAAGCAGAGTATTTTCATTTATTGGTTTCTGGTTCTGCACAATAATCTAAGCTACAGCTCAAAGTTAAACTGCTCCTGTGTAGCTTCAAAAAAATGCTTCTGATCATGCTGAAGTAGATTATAAGAAGTAGCAGGACATATCTGAAAAGATGAATTTAATTTTTTTAAAAATTGCCTTTCAAATGTGTTCAACGTGCTTTGCAAACATACACATCTCCTCTCACTCTTCAAGCACCAGACGATTACAGTTGCAGAGATCCAAAGTGATGCAATGAATCAATAAAAGACCCCCTGAAGAACTGTAGGTATTCATAGCTGGAAAGATAATAGCTACGATACAAAGCCTAGAAAAGCCAGATGAAGATGACTGAAAAGGGAATCTGAGAAAGAAATAATATTTTTCAGGGTTTCAGACAGAGGGAAACAACAGAATGCCAAGCATCAACAGGGACTTGATTACACACGAGCACAGAGCTATTTGTTTAACAGCTACCTTGGAAAGGAACTGAAACACATTTATTTTGGCCACCACCATTTCAGAACATTAAACATTTTCAGCATCATTTCCTACACTGAGACGAATACCTTGTTGGAAACCTGTGTCAACACCGTAACTTCAAGTTCAGCTATCAGCTCTAGGGTCAGCCTGAAACTCAGGCCACTGTTCCCAGGCTGAAAGCTCTACAAATTTATCTAAAGACGGTGGGAAGACTGCAAACACACAAACCCACACACCTATTTTCATGACAGCGTTTAACAGAACTACCCCAACTTCTACAGAAGGGTAATTTAACTTCCTTTTAAAAAAAAAAATACAAATATATGTTCTTTTGGACCTTCAGTTTTGTTAGTCCCACATTCTCCACCCTCTCACTGCTAAAAAGATTCAAAGAGAACATGCAAATAACCACCATTTCTCAGCATATGGGAAAAAGGATCAATTTCCCCATCTTGCAAAGCAAAGGCACTGCCTTTGATCCTCACTAGAAGAAATATTGCCAACCATTAAATATACATTCACTTCTACAGCAATTCCTCTGCCCCTCGAAAAGTTTTAAGTGATACTTTTAAAGGCAACAGCAGACACTGCCCGAAAGAGAAAAATGCAAAAACTTACTTGTCTACAGAGGAGCACTCAAAAGTGTTCCCCCTCCTCCTGGGGAACACTCACCCTCAAGCTGAGAAAACAGAAGAGCAATGGAGGTTCTACATGGTCACCCATTCCCAGGCAGCATCAAACTGGCTGTAACTGCAGGCGGTGTGACAGCCCCCCAAACCAGTATCACCTGTAAATACTCTTCCCTCTTTAAATCTTGAGAGCAGGCAGACAAGGGTTACAGGCTTAGGGTAATGCCTCTTAAAAGTTACACTGATTAATTATGAGATACAAGTGTAACCAATCTAATTTATGCATCATTCACATTGCTGGAGGCAGAGAAATTTACTGTGGAAATTAAATGTAATATTTGGCTCTGGATTCCAGCACAAGTTTACACTAGATACAGATCAGACACAACCCATCCCTCTCCAGGTCCCTGGAGTTAAGTCCAGCTGCCCACACCAACACAAAGCTGTAGGTAAAGGCACACCACCAAGTATGTCTTTCACAAGTATGTGTTTCCTAAGTGCTATCAGGATGCTAATTAGGAAGAAAACCACGCAGCCTATAGTAGAGGACAAATATTAAGCAGAAGCTTTATCCTCTCCCTGGCAGACACAGAGGTGACAGCATTTTGAGGATGGCAGAGTTGGGTTAGGAGGGCTGGAAGCAGATTAAGGGGGGAATATGGTCTGCAGAACCACTGTTCTACACACTGGTCAGCAGGCCCACATCAGAAATCTTTGTCTGGCATCACAGCCACACAGGTTGTTTGCTTCCCCCAGCAATGGCATCACAGCTACACAGGTTGTTTGCTTCCCCCAGCGATTAAGAAATTTCCTTTTCCCCTGCAAGAGGGAGCTCTGGGTGGCTGCTCCTGCCAGTTCTGCTTCCCACCTCCCTCCCCAGAGACAGACTGCACCAGGGGATGGCTTTTCTGGAGCTTCTAAATAAATGCCAGTAGATCTGATGGCAAATGAGTTGTTTCATTTACACTGAAGAGATGTTATGACGGCAGCACCTTAGAAAGACATAAATGAGTGAGTCATGACTGAAGTGGGAACGCAAGCAGAGGTAGTGTGCAAGAAATATCTGGTAGGGAACAAAGGGAAAGGTCATTATCTTTATAAAGAGGAAAAAAACTTCAGCTGAGGCAAACATCAAGAGAACTAATGTGAATCACATTCTGTGAATGAGGAAGAGAGTATGAAATGACTTCACAGAGACATACAAAGGAAAGCAGATACTGGTGGAGAAGATGCTCCTGTTTGGATTCTCTTCAAAGTTAGACTAGAAGATTACAATGGCCTCTTCCAGCCTCACTCTATGTGTGTAAATAAAAATAAACCCAGGAAAAAAGTGACAAAGAAAAATAAGAAAGCAAGCTCAGCATGACAACTGGGGCATGACTCCTGGGAGATTTCAGTAATTCAGATGTTTGCCAGGACTTTCTCAACACAAAAGGATGGAAAGGGAAACAAGTTTTTGTGCCATACTTCAAAACTCAAAGGAAGCAGAAAAGGCAGCAAACAAAGGGAGAAGAGAATCCACAGTCACAAACTGCAAGTTTAGGTCTTTAATAAATTATAGCCAGACACATAGACACAAACCCACTTACATGAAATCAAAATATAAAGCGCATGACAGACAAAAAAAGAAGTCAGACACATTGCTTAAGAAGGAGCTACAAAGAAATCAGAGAATGAAAACGCAGTTGGCACCCCAGTAGAAATCTGAGGAAGTTTTATTTGGAATAGTGGGGAGCTCAAAGTGGCTAAAGGAAGAATTAAAGAGAATTAGACAGAAACAAAGAGTTATTTAAGGAATTTAAGGGAAAAAATAGTCTTAGAACAACAGACATAACTAGATAGAATTATCCAAACATTCTAAAGCCTAAGAAATGTAAAGCAACAAGCCAGCCCTAATCCAACAGGCTTGAAGC